CGTGATATCGAAATGGGCGAAATCGCCTCTTGATATCACTAACTCTCCTGACTCCTGATCTCCATAAGCAGCTGGTGCTTTTCTTTTTCGTGGGCAACTAGTACCTCTTCAGCTGCTGTGACCCTTTCGGTCTTTCGTTTCTGCTCCTTTCGTCCTTGAGACGCCCGGCGATTTCCCTTCAATACTTTTTCAATAATTTGGGCTCTTCTTGTCCTTGCTTCATTGGGCGTTGATGGCTCATCGCGATTATCGTGGTCAGTCATTGATCCTTCCAAAGACTCTTCTGCCATTTGTGCTGTGATCTCCTGGTTCTCTGCAACTCCCACATTCAGTCCATTATCGTCGAACGGATTGCTCAATTGCATGGCTATGTTTCCTCCCAGCGCATCAAACGTTTTCTCGGTTTCAGGAGAAAGGGGTGGAAGGGGAGATCCACCCCCAGTTTTCTTAACACGTTGGCGACAATGCGTCCTGATGCCAGGATGCAGATTTCATTTTCAATGAATACCCTCTGGAACTGTTGAGAAAAATGCGCGTGGTCCCACGCGGCGGACAAGCAAAAATAGGCTGGTCGTCAACGTGTTAAATGATCTGATGGTCTCATCAGCTGCACCTTTCACGTGGAGTTTATGGCGCACCCAGAACTGCTTGATTTGTTCCCTTGTTTTTCCCTCGCACTGGGGGTAGGCCTAAGCGCTGAGGCAATCTCTTCGTATACCTGCAGCAGTATAAGAGGCCAAATTGGTAATAGACACCGTTTTATTTGCCCAGTGAACCAACGCCAGATGGTAATGCAACAGTATGTACTGTGCAACACTGATAATAGACCTAGACCTACCTTTTTCTTCTGCAGATTTGTAACGGAGTCTGTTTTCTTGCAGTCCACTATACGACATGCCTTCCTGAGTTCAGTCAACAAGAACGTCTTCATTTCACTGGTGAGCGTTTTTGGCCTTAGTGTCCCACCATGTTATACTGATCACTCTACTGAATTGACTCAGGATAACTTAAATGTTTATACAGGAGCACTTTAGCATGACTGAGATCCCAAGAAGAGATGGTGCCATGGTTTCTGCAGTTCTAATGCTTCTTTTTCCCAATGTCAAGGGATTGTGGGGACCATTTATAATACTGCTTAATACTTCGTGCTATGCGCGCTGCCAACTTTATGAACTCCCTCCACCTCGCTTTCTCGCGAATGGGATGGGACGTTGCCGTCACCAATCGTCGTTGAAAATAACCAAGGATTATTATAATAAAACATTATAAAATGCAGCTTTATCAGTCGAGTTCAACAATCTAAAAAAATTACTCCATATTATAAAGCTGCATTATCCAATAAAGCAGGATTATTTTAGAGCTCGGTTCAAAAATCCACCCTAAACCTGTTTCTCAGCCGCATGTTTTGGTGCCGTTTGACTTCGTTTTGAGAGTCCTTTCAATGACCAAAGTTTGGTTATAATCTGAAACTATCACTTGGGTAGTGTCCCTTGTTAGTTCAACTAAGAAGTCTGAGCTTTGATGAGAAGTCAAGCGTAGAAAACTGGTGCCGTATGATAGCAGTTATCTACACTGTACAAAGATGGCGCCAGTGCACTCTCAAATCAGATTGACAACAGAAGGATCAAACGTTTGCAGTTTTGTGATATAGAAACGAATTCTGACAGGAAATTCAGGCCTTTCGAATTATATATTACACAGGAATCTGGGTTCAAAAATTAATATGAAAGGTCATCCTGGTCAGGTCAAAGGTCAACTCAGAAAAAGAATCTAAAAGGAGTTGGACCATCTGCAGGAAATTACAAATCGGTTGAGAAACCTAGGAGGAGTTCACCGGACAAAATCCTGTCATATAGACATCTGCCAGACGTTATATATAGATGTAACGGGCGGTATCGTTGAGCGTGGTCGGTAGTATGAGTACTACAAAAAATTCGTTGATAGCCTACCGGCAAACGGCCTTACCGTCACGTTTAGGAAACGAAGAAAAATGATAGAAGTTGTCCCTCTGGGAAAGTTCGTATCGGTCGATATGGAACCAATAGACGTTAGGCAAGGATACCGAAGTGGACTGGGTTTTCTTACAGATTTCGTTCATTCTAATCCGCACAGCACAAAATGTGACCTACAGTATTTTCCCAACAGAAGAAAAAGTATAGCAAAATCTCTGAGCACAACTTAGCGGATGCAAGAGATTCCGTTCATAACATTCATAACAAGTCAATGTGGGCCACCTCTGGGAGACGAAACTTCGACCAATGGCTGGTAAAGTATGGTGCTCTTGAAATGAATAAGGGATCTTACTTACTGTTGCCTATCGTCGAGAGACGGAAGCCTATCCTTTCCCACAACCTGATCAACCTCCGATTGGAGTCTCTCTTGCTTGTCTGGATGTCGTAGGAGGAAGAGGATGCACCAGTGGATGCCGTTCGTCGTTGTCTCGCTCCCGGCGAAGAAGAGATCCGACACGTTTGCCCAGAGCTGCAACTCTAAGAACGACCACGAAAATCATCATACACATAGACGATATTCAGTTTGTGCAAGATGGAATCTATGTTGAGTCAATTTACTTTATGGGCATGTAATAAGCATTTAGACTCACAACTTCAGGGGCAGAAGTAGATTTTCTTGTTTTGACTTTTTCAAACGTTTACGCTTTTTCAAATACTTTTTTCGTGATGGGTACACAAGCAGCACACCACGTTGGGTCCATCTTTGGCTGTGAGTTTAGGAGTGTCTCCAGTGACACCCCCAATATTAGATCAATACTGCCTGTCAAGGAATATACATATTGGCCCATGATTAGGATTACCACCGGGCCTCATAATAGGCCGATATTGATGCTACTATTTGCTCTATAGTGGGGACTTTTCTATCTGTAGAATTAGTACAGCTTGTAGTAGTATAACCCCTAACCATGCACACATCTGTCCCGCGGCTGTGCAGGAGGCATAGGACAAGAAAAGGATTGATCTTACCTTGACTATATTAAACATTGTACATTCAGGGGATAATCCACCCTCATGCTCGATGACACATCCGCGAGATCAGTTCCTCATTTCATTCGCCTGGAGTCAGACCCAGGATAAGTGGGTGGCAGCACTATAGGAAGAAAGATGGCGACAACGATGCAATAGAAGGCGAAGTGAGTGTGTGATTTTTTTATACGAAACTGTACATTGTTGGGCTTGATCAGCGTGAGTTCAAGCGTTGGTACAGAACAAGGAGGGCTCTAACATCGCAAAGGGTTCTGCGTTGGTTTGGGCATTTTGAAGAAACTGGAACGGTGTTCAATTGTTTACAAACTATCTTCTGACACGTCGCAATAGGCATATTCACTTCACGTGAGAACCGTCGCAAAATTTACAGGACTTCTTGTCAATGCTACCCGAGTTTTGTCCACATCAGCAGGCGTGCGTGGTGTGTAACTTTAGATTAGTCACTTTCAGTTTTTCTAAATGCCTGGACCAATGTAGAATGCCTTGTGATGCTGAAGCCTTCATTTTTCCATACAATCGCTTGGCCTCACGCTGTACGAACACAACATCCAGGCAGCATGTTTACGTAAACAAGGTATCAATTTTTTTGCAAACAATGTAAATTTCTTGCGATTGCCAAGAAAATAACATCACGCTTACGTACAAATTTACGAAGCGTATATTTACGTTCCAAAGTGTATTTTACATAAACTAGACGTCACTCCATCTGACGTGAAGTACCTGATATCAAGTTTACGCAAAGTTAACATCACACTTTCCATATGAAACTTTAGCTGACCATCCCGCAGTTGCAATACCAAGATTCTTCACTAGATGGAACCCTTGTTCCCTGCACCCTTCAAATGCTATTAAGCACTGGTTTTCCCGATATAGTATCAGGTTTTCTTACCATCCTTCCACTTTTTATTATGCAATCCATGAATATATATATGGAATGTAGGAAATCATTTACATATTTTTAATAATATATGACTCAGGGAATCATGAAATGCTGAAGCTAAGCTTGTTATTACAGCAGTGCATGGGAATAGGGAAGAGTGGAATTCCAGTTCCACAGGATTATACCTTCTCCATCCTTAATGGAAGGGAACTCCTCTAAACGTCTATTTCTCCTCTCGAGGTCCTGCTACTGGAGGAGGAACTAGTGAGTCATCTTGGTACTCGAGTGCTAGTGAGGAAGAGTAATTGTATACTTCCGTACTCGTCCAAGTAACATTGAGTTCCAAATTATGGAAAGGAATGGGAGAAATATATTGTATCAATTCCCTTCAAAAGTACGAACTGTCTCGTTAAATACGCATGAATGTTAGGGGGAAATTAACATCAATTTTACGTAAAATGAATGTAAACGTTGGGGATGCAAACGAGAATGTCAATTTCATATAAAATTTACGTTAATTTTATATCACCGTGTACGTATTACAGAGGTGACATTTCTGCAAACGTGTTGACATTATCTTGATGATGGTTTCCGTAAAATAGATATAAAATGGACAAAAAATTTACATGCAGTTTACGTAAAATTAACAGAAACATGCTGCTTGGGCACTGTTCAGTTTTGCACACAAAAATACACAATTCGAGTTCTGCTTAATCCCAGTCGTCATCTTGCGTCCTTCAGTGCTGCCACCCATATCGATGAAAAGTAAAGAGTTAGGCCAGATTACTGCCAACTTTCACTTTTCTACATCTGCTGCTTTTCGAGAAATACAGGGTGGGGCATAAAGATCTCCCACATTTCGAGGAGGCACTGTGCGGGCTGTAGTGGGGGTAGAGAGGTGGGCTAAGTCTTATTCGGTAGGTTAGGCTCAACCGTTTTCAGTACCCATCATGAGTTGGACCGGTGAACATCGGGGCTTTGTTGTTCAAGCTTATTATGAGAACAACCGTTCTGTGATAGCAACGCAGAGAGCGTTCCGTACACGTTTCGCGCTCGGTCGAAATGCATCTGTACCAGATCGGAAAACGATTTTGCTATGGATTTCTAACCTTCGGGCAACTGGATCCACACTGAAAAGAAAATCACCTGGCAGACCTAGGACCGTTAGAACGCCAGAAAATGTGGAAGCAGTAAGAGCATCCATTCAGCAATCGCCAAGGCGATCCGCTCGTAAGCATGCCGTGGCACTGGGGATATCAAGTCGGAGTTTGAGGAGGATTCTGCAT